GATATTTTGTTTTAAGGACAATATCCCTTATTCGTAACCAAAATTTTATTCAGCAAATTTTTTATTTTATTTTATTTAGTGAGAACTATCTAGTAATCGTTTCATTTTGTTAACATCCAACTTTTTCTTGAAGCAGATTTTTTTTTCTTAAAAATTGATATCTTAGCTCTGGTGAACATATTGATTCTCAGTCTTAAAAATTCTTTTTTTAAGGGAGGCGGTATTTACTACGTGGTTGAAGCATGAACATCTGTTTTTATTAAAATTCCAAACAATTGGACGCACCGTCCTCACAGAAAATAAAAACAGAGTTTTTACGCATCTCCCGCACATTTTATAAACATCGATACATGAAGTAAAAATCTTTTACAGAAAATTTTAATTAGCATGCGACAATAGCCCAACTGTAACACTTAAACCTAACCCTAGGTTTGAAATGATGCTACGATCGATTGCTGAATATATTCTGAATTGAAATTAAGAATTTATGTAAAGTATCACATAACTAAATAAAGAATGTGTTTGAGTTGAAAAAATATTTGATTCTCGAATGATTTTATCTGATTACTTGTGTGCCCCGACATAGACTTTGGAAACAATGAAGTCAATCAGCAATGCCACGTTAAGTTGAAGTGTTTAGTTTTTTGCATTTTAAGGTCAGAATAAAGAAGAAACAGTTACATTCGCATTTTTAATATCTCATATGATCTGGAATGGAATTGTTCTTAGGTCATCCTGAGAAAATATTTCTATAGACCATTAAACTCTCATGGACATACACAGTTTGTTAGTTTCAAAGAGACATAACTTTTGATCTCCTCAACAACTTGGTCTGTTTTTTATAAAACCCAAAAGCGATTAAACTTGCATAGTTCTTTTTTATATTACCGGTACCGTTGGCCTAGTGGTTAAGGCGTCCGCCTTCAGATCGGAAGGTCGAAGGTTCGAGCCCCACGGGGAGCGTTAATTGAAGGATGAATGTTTCTCGTGGGACTCGTTCCGAAATGGCCGCTTCGTGAGCCGCGAGGTAGTTAAAATGAATGGTTACCGATTTCTATCCGCCTGGCGCCTTGCATAGTGGTAGGATTTGGGAGGTACATGGTATGCAACCAAAAGGTGTCTCATAAGTCAAAATGGCTGGCCCTTTCAGTAGGGGTAACACTATAATAAACAAGACCTTATATTGATAAAATCGTTAGTATCCCTCTTTTTTATTTTAATAAACATTTTAAACTGTATATAAATCCTATACATTGAGGGGGGTCAGCTTCTTAGTGGTTGTGATCGTTGACTTCAAACAACATTCCTGCACTGCTTTGGGTTCAAATCCTGTGTAGAACTGTGAATTATTTCATATGCGTTAGGTATAAAACAAGCACAAAGAAAATTAAGTATTGCTTTGATATTTTGTACTGCCTTTTTCATTAAAGTAGCTTCATTGAAGTAAATTTCATTCCGCACACTAACACAAATTAACGTTATGAAAATATAACATTGAGTTACCAATAATGACACTTCAAGCAAGTTCACAATGTGTATTTTATATATATACAGTGCCCTCCAAAAGTTCCCGGACAAACATTCTATATTGAAATTTTCTCTGTAATTTGCTTATTTTAAAAGTTTGAAACAACAGAAGTACCTTATTATAAGGTGTGATAAAGAAAGGTAATAAATTAATATAATTTGTCTGCAAAAAGTCATTATTTGTGCCAAAAATGTTTTTTCCCCTAAAACCCATGTTTTTTGTGGTACATTTCAATTAAGCATAAAGTCAAGTGTAGGGGACACACATTCCATAATCAGAAAAAAAGTAAATTCATTGATATTTCTTCCATTTAATATGATTTGTGACTATGTCCGGAAACTTTTGGAGGGGACTGTATATGTCATTTTTAGGCATTTATTTTGTTTAATTTAGTAATTAAATATTATATATAGATAAAATAGATTTCTACATGTTAAGCATTTTTTCAAAAAATGTATTTACTTACAATACTTTTTTTCTTCCTAACCCTAACCCATACACTAACTCTACTTCCTAATTTTCATAGAGAAGGCAAGGAACGTTGAGGGATGAATATTGTTTACGAATGGATGACTATTCAAACACTTCACGGATAGAAAAAGGGCACGATAAAGAAAAACAACACGTACAAAGAGTCCTCAATCTGTAAACTGTAACACTATTGAAGAAGGTTTGATAATGACCGACAGGATACAGGAGATTAAGATATTTTGTAAAATGATACTTACATGTACTGTCCTACAAAAAACAAATTGATGAACAATGTCCTTAAAATCTCAGAAAAATATGATTTTGTTAAAACATGTAGTAATTATTAGCTTAACAACAAATAGCAATGCCCTTTTTTGAATTTCAAGAAACAAAGAAACATATAAACTCATACTTTAAAAGTACTTGAAAAGACATTGTGTAGCTGTTGTTCTACAGTTCCACGTGAGGTGAATCATTTGAATGTATAATTTATTTGTAATTAAAATTCCTCTTCAGAGGCATTTTCTGAATGTTTTCAAGTAAATATGCATACAGGGTTCAATTTAGAGATACAAATGATAAATATGGCATGTTTTATTTCGATTTTATTTTAAAGTTCTTTACTCCCATTTCAATATTTGAATATTAAGAAAATGATAGGATTTCTTTAAATGTATATGTATTTTCATATGATCTAGTCCAGCTGTTGTAGCCATATCAAATCGTGGCAAAGGAATTGATATTTTCTTTTGTCTCGTTGACAGTATGGAGTCTACGATTCTTTTGATAAAACATCAGCTTGGAAGCCCCGGTCAATATTCATTACAGTAGCAAAACCACTGCTTTTTCTCATTAGATTAGCATGTGCGGTAATATACTTGATATTTGCAAGTGTTTGTGAAATGTATAATGCAATCCTAAGAAATATTATGATCGGGTATCAAAGTTACTTAGAAATAAGAAGGTAATAAAACAATATAACTTATGCTTGTTCATGGTTCAAATCGTTATTATTATGGAGAATAAAACATTTATATTTTCTATTTATTTCTCACATACAGTAATTGATAATATATATATATATTGTTGATCTTTATTCTTGTTTTTTAACTTTTATCTCCCGAACAACTTGATCGTCTTTACCATATTTTTTGGTCTGCTAGATACCGGTTTTACTGATTCCGACACGATATCAGTAAAAAATAGGAATAGTAAGTATACAGGGTACATCTGTCAATACTGTATAATACTGGATTCTGGCCGCACATAGAGAACCAGAGCTAGTGGCCTTTGATCAATTATTTCTCCAGAAGATGAAGGTTTTTAGTTAAGGTCGTTAACACATTAGGTTGCAAGTTATGAAACATACTGCCTTCATAAATGTAACAAAACAGCATTATCTTAAAACTGATGTATCACTAAAAGGAAATATACTTCTTTCTGCCACTGCAATTATTCGGAAAAAAATAAAGGAATAAAGGATTAATGTATGAAAATACATTTCTGATTTGTTATGTAGTTGAAGAACGGACCACAAACCCTTTTTATTGTATAGATTTAATAATAAATAAAACCTACACTTGCTCTGGTAGAGCAGTGAACGGAACATAATAATTATAAAGAAAAGAATTGTCTGTTGATTCCGACGGATATACGATCGGGCCTTATACATAGATGGTCTATTTCTATTGATAAAGTGCTTTGGTACTTCAACATTCCTATATATTTGAAATAAATAGGATCGACAACGTCCCTCTGTGTTACCTTTACTGTAATACTTAAACGAACAAATGTATATCCATACGGACGAAATATCTTTCGTTTATTTGTTTAAATGATAACCGTTACATAAAGTTTCTATTCTTAAGAATAGAAACTGATTATTCTCTAGATTAAAATAATAGAACATAAAAAGAAGGAAAGGAATGAACAAACAAACAAACGCAGAACCAGATTGGTATGAGGTGGTGTCTATAGGATTAAAGTGCAATTGTCTGTTGTTGTTGTTGTTTTTACTTGGATATAGGAATATGAGCTATTTTCCTATTAATCCGATTTATATCCATCATTAACCAATATTATTGCTTCAAAACCATTAAGCATTTGCTAGGTAAGGCGAGGAACCCAATAGCCTGAAGAAAGGTTTGGTATGACTGTTCCTCAGGGAATCCATTTTTCACTTTTTTGACTCAGTCGTATTTGTGAGTCATACATACAACAAACAAATAAGCAGTACTTGTTAGTGCTGTGTGTTATAGTATGAAAATCTTGACGTCTTAAAGTACTTTAATGGTAGCAAGATTCATACGATAAACCCAAAATTGGTTACTTATGAAACTACCCAATTCATAATGATCAAAAGATCATAAGCCTTCACCAAAGTTGTAAGCGTCAACACACCAACCTAAGTGTTGGGGGCTTTCAGTTTCTTTTCTGGCCCATATTGTAAATAAAAAAAGACAAAGGACAAGGTTCACAAACAGGGCTTTTTAGCCCAGTAATTTTACAAATGCAAAACCATGAAATATAAACGACATCCTACATATTTTAAAAGAAATGGCCTATATTCTAACAAAAAATCACAAAATATCACAGTAAATCGTATTTTAATGTCTAGAAAACACAACTTATTAACCATGCATAATTGTCAAAATAGCGAAATTCAGAACGTTCGCTGTCGTATTTTCTTAAAATAACATATGAAGAGCCACAAGCGACACAAAGTCCTTTTCAGGTAATGATACTAAATATATACTAAAGCTGTGGCCGAAATATGGTGGTGTCGGGTTTGGCTCTTCATATCTAAAAATAATGTTTTCCGACATTTGCTGTTGCTATGGAAATTCGGTCTTAGCTGATAATTCCCATGATATTTGGCATGAAAACAATATGTTTGCTTTAAAAAATCTTATCTAAACTAATTACTCATGTAGACCTTTAATAAAATTATATAAACTTAGACAGCAAACTGATTTATAACATATTTTACGTGTTTTTTATTTCTAATCATTATCCGAACTTGTCCTGCCCGAATACGTGGTTGATCAGAAAAAAATGGTATCCGTTTGTGGAAAACATTTGTTTATGTCTTGCTAATAAATAAATACTAAAGACAATATAGCACATTACATTTATGTTTAACCCGCTTCTCGTAAGAAACAGAAAAATGCGTACGAACGCCAACTTTTGGTTCGAGAATTGACCGCTACTGTATTCAAGGGAATTAACTCGACATTGAATCTGAAACTGAAAGTAGACTGCTATTGTTTTTCTCTCTGATCGTTTTCCAACGCTTTTCAGCGATGTAGGTGCCAAAACTGGAAACGAAAGGTAAAAACGTTTGTATAATATATATTTTGTGACGATAATACTTTTAAATTCAATTTCTGTATCGAATCAAAATGTTTATTTCGACCTGTCATTTTGTGTTGTTACGGACGCAGACGTCAACATGTCAACTTTTAAAATTATAGAAGAACAGTGATAAATCAATAGTGAAATTAAAATATTTGGTAATGAATTGAAATATTTAAAAGTTTTACAGAAAAGAGCCTTAAAGTGTATCGTTTTAAAAGGAGCAACAGAGTGATAAAGTTTTTTTAAGTGTATTAATATTTGTTTTGCAGATGGTAAAGTCAAGGTACTCTATAGCCTAGTGGATGTAATCGGTGGCTGTCACCCGATAGGCCGGAGTTCAAAACCAGGTTGCTACCTTTTTTTTTTTTTTTTTTTTTTTTTTCAATAACTTCTTACTCATTTGTTTTATTTTCTTTGAATTTTAAAGTGTTTTTTTTTATAATATTAAAAAAATGTGATAAATATAAAAAAAAATGATTGTTAAAAGATAGACTTATCACAAATACTGGTATGGTTGCAAAAAGTTTGTTCAGTTTAAGACTGGAAAACACAAAATGATATAGGATTAATTTAAGATACTCTGCAGTGATAATTAACTTTAATAATTTAATAAAATATAAGGCATATTTTTATGATTCATCTTTTTTTCTAGGATGCCTCAAAAGATATGTGTGCTGTGCAGAAAAAAGCTAAAACTGCATCAAAGAAGACCTGTCAACAAAAATATAGCTAAATATTTACGGAAATTCTATTTGATGCAAACAACCAATTTGGATTTTATTTGTGGAGGTTGCAGCAAAAAAGTGTATCCAGTTTCTAGTGCACAGCCAAAGTCATCTGTTTCAGACACATCAAGAAAATCTACTGAAAATCAGACAGCAACAGCAACAACATCTACAGCCTGTAAAAGTCCACCATCCATTCAGCTTCCCATTAAATCTACATCCAAAAGCCATTCCTACTGTTTTATTTGTAAAAAGCCAGGTCCCAAAATCATAGTTGTACCAGCAAATATAAGATATTCAGTATTCATTGAACATGGAATTATTATCACAGCTGAAAGCAGATGTTGTACTTCTCATTTCAATCACAACTTAAACGAATTTAATAAAGAAGAACTAGTGAACATGAAAACAAAAGAACAATCATTTTTGAACAGAACTACTATTACTGAATTCATCAATAAAACAAGAGAAATTGCCTTAAAATCTTCAAACAAGAGAATGTCATTTGACAGTATGCATACCTATACAGATGAAGATTTAATTACCTTGACAGGCCTAAACAAAGAACAATTTCTTGATTTATACCAACATGTTGAATCTTCTATAAAAAAACACTCCAGCAAGAACCTCCATAACAACACTTGGTATTTTCCTCTTTAAAATGAAATGTGGACTTTCAAACAAAATATTATCAACAATATTCAATATAACAAAATCAAGTATAAAGAAGAGCAATTCACTCAGCTAGACAAGCTCTTTGTGATATCATTGTTCCAGCCCATCTTGGATTTGAACATGTTACTAGAGAAGAAATCATTCAAAAACACACCAGAAAATTAGCACAAGACCTTCTAGCTGAAAGCAATGACCAGGCAATTCTAGTTCTTGATGGAACATATATTTACATTAACAAAAGCAACAACTTTCAATTCCAAAGGAGAAGCTTTAGTATGCACAAGCACAGACCATTAGTTAAACCCATGATAATTGTCTCTACCACTGGTTATTTTGTGAGTGTTTTAGGGCCATATTTTGCTGACTCAAAAAACAATGATGCATCCATTCTAAAACATATTTTAAACAACAACATACAAGAAATCAAATCATGGATTGACCCCAGTGACATTTTTGTAGTAGACCGTGGTTTTAGGGATGCTATTGAATTAATGAAGGAACTAGGGATACAAGCAGAAATGCCTGCCTTTATGAAAAGAACAGAAAAACAGATGACAACAGATGATGCAAATGCCAGTAGGTTTGTAACAAAGGTAATAATTTAAATAATCAACTACATATATAGTAAATTATTATTATCAATTTCAGATTTAAATGCACAGCTTTTAATTGAAAATTATTTTATGTTCAATTCTTATATATGAAATATTGAACATTTCTAAAGTAAAAGAAGATAAATTACATTGCATAATATTATCAACTTAATATAAGTTCATATATTTTCATGTATACTTTATCAACTTTTCATTTTAACAGCATATCATTCACTTAATACATACATTATTGGATGTATTTTAATAATATTGAACATTTTCAGCTGGTCATTTCATAATTAAACATTTAGGATTATAAAATATTATTATTTTAAATAAAACCAATTTAATTAAAATGCATTTAACATCTATTGTTGACCAGACTGTTCTGTAGATTATCATATTTCTTCTTGATACCTTATCTCTCATTAAATATGATGTACTGTAATACTGTATTTTTATTCAATATAATGTAGATAGTTTACTGCAAGATTAGCATACAAATGTTCATAGTAATTATTCTTCTTCACAGAAATATTGCCTGATTAATTAAGTTAATTATAATAAGAAACATAAAAAACTTTAATCTTCAATTATTTTTCCAAAGATTAATTAGT